CTCAGGTGGATAACTGAGTCATTTAGTAAGGAAACTGGCACCCTCTCTGACTCTTCCTCCCAGTAGGAAGAGTTTGGCTGTATCTGGGATTTTCCTTCGCATTTTGACTCTCGGAAAATTTGGAGTGAAGGTGGAAAAGGTATGGTCAAGCCTTAAAGTCCCATGAACAATCATGAGCTGCCTCTGACAATTGCAGAAAGAGCAGGTGGATAACTGAGTCATTTAGTAAGGAAACTGGCACCCTCTCTGACTCTTCCTCCCAGTAGGAAGAGTTTGGCTGTATCTGGGATTTTCCTTCGCATTTTGACTCTCGGAAAATTTGGAGTGAAGGTGGAAAAGGTATGGTCAAGCCTTAAAGTCCCATGAACAATCATGAGCTGCCTCTGACAATTGCAGAAAGAGAAGTCCAGTCTAGATGTCTTAGACTGAAACGTGTGAGAGGTCATTTCCAAAAAGGAAAACATTGGGTAAATAAGTTTCCATTCTGCAGTTACTTAATTTTAAGGCATGTCAGTGATTTCTCTCAGCTTTTTTTCTGAGCCTTACTTCAACAAGCCATGTTTCTTTCCCAGGGCACCTTTGAAATTCTTTCTCCTCCTCTTGCCTTCTGAGTTAGTGCCCTAAGTAGCTGATCAAAAATTATATTTATATATATTTTTGTTGGTTAAACAAACATGTGAATCCCAAAGTCACTATTAATAGTATTCTCCCATGTACTTAACAAGATCCCCTGATTTCTGTGTCATGTCAGAGGGCTAGATTAAGGCAGACTCTAAATATCTGGGCCTTTGGCTGTACCAAAGATCTAGGGGGAAAGGCACTGTGCACTTTGAGATCAGAAGGAGAGCAGAAGGTAGTGTTAAAAGAGGCAGGAGTGCCACAAACTTCTTTGAATTGTGGCAGGAGGTGTGGTACTTGTATTTCTTGTGTGGAGCCCTTGGAACCTAGGTACCATCTGACCAAAGTAGACTTTAATCTTCCATTGCATTCCAGCGCCAAATTCTGCAGGAAATTGTTTCCATTAGTCAGTAAAATATTTGTTTGAGAAGCAGGTTTGTGCATACAGTGTCTGTCTGATCATAATCATAAGATTTTTGCCATGATACCCTAACTTCCTAGACATAACTGTGTATGTATTATGGCTGCTTAGTCATGAATACAGTTTCACTCTAGAATTTTGCATATTCTTAATGTTTGGCTCTTTGAGCTAGTGAAAATTAATAAGAAAAGGAAGTGCATTAATTGCTTTTTGTGTAAATATTAAAACCAGGTGACGCAGGCTTTCCTGAGGAATATTTTGTTAATGCAGCACAAATCTTGATAGAGGAAAAACAGTTTTGTGGCTGGGATTGTTCTGTTGAAGGATAGAGGTCTACATGGCTTTGTGTGACTTGAAAGCTGTTTGTAAATTGTTTTGTAGCTAACTTGTTCCAGCATGTTGTGTGTTGATTTTCTGTTTCTGCTGAAAATAGAGGTAACAGTGTAGCTGATAAGTTGCCTATTTTAATGAGGTTGCCACTGCAAATTCTTATTGAGCAAGCTGAGGATGCTTTATCTTGCAAGTGTTGGGTCAGTTTTTAGTAGCAAACTGGGAGTATGTGTGCACTAAACTTTGATCAGTCCTTTTAAAAAAGGGTGTCTCTAATACTTGGAAAGCCCTCCACCTTCTGGCTCACTGTGTCACCACATCTTACTCATTTGAGCCCTTCTAAAGATTTACTATATCTATATTTCTCTCAAACTAATTAATACAACTCTGGGAAAACATCCCAACTTTATCCCTCTTTTCTTTGGCTTACATGTGGCAGGCACAGAAATAATGCTGCTTTTTTATTTTTCAGTCTATTGCTGAAGGTTTTAAAGAAGCTGTACGATATGTCCTTCCACGACTTATGCTGATCCCAGTTTATCATTGTTTGCACTATTTTGAATTATTACAGGTAAGATGGGTGCAGTTTCATTTACAGAAGGAGTAATTTTAATTTTCTTTTGGTATGTAAATATAGTTAAGCATACATTTTACAGAAGTGTTTGTGTGGTTGGAGAGTAAACTGATAGTTACAATATAATTTCAATATTAAATCATACAAATTTAAAACTGTTCCACTCCTCAGAGCTTTTGTAACTGCTTGTTTATGGTGGTCCGCTAAACATTTATGGTAGGTATATGCTTTAGTAAGTTGATCTGGCATTTAAGTGAGATTTACATTAGTTGTAGAGTCTGAAATAATTCTTTGTGTATGTATTTAATACGTTTTCCTAATTTAGTAAAAGATGGTTCAATTCAAATGTCCAAGGCGTCAGTTCAGGACACACACATCCATCTTATTATTTTTGGAAAACTTGTATTTCATACTCAACATAATAAGAATAATCTATGTTGGCTACTCATTAATTACTTTGGGTTCCGAGAGAACAAGACCTAGAAAGAAATAAAGCAGAATCTTTGAAAGCCCACCAGTTTTCTCCATCTTGAAGGTAGGAAAAGAGTACATCAGCAACACTATTAAATACAGTTTAAAAAATGGAGAGGCTCTACTATTTTTACCTTAAAAGGGAGAGGATTTGGAAGGATTGTGGAATCTTTATTTGGTTGGTAGTTAAATTTATATTCCTGTAGAATTTTATTTTCCATAGCTTTGTTACTGAGAGCAAGACTGTTTAGTTTGGGAACTCACGTTGATTTGTAAATAATTCTACATATTGGGAAATCAAGAGGCAGGTTACTATTTGTATAGTTTATGAAAGTATGACCAAAGATTACATGGGTTCCTAGTGCAATTTATGTATATGCAGGTAACCCTGTTCATAGCACCTGTTAAATTGCATAATTATAGTTCAGAATATTTCAATTTGTCTGTGTTTGCTTCTGATTTGAGTTAATGAAAAGTTGTACATAGGTACCATTGAGGGTCCATCAAAAAGCAGAAATACAGCTCTTGTTTCTGTGGAAGTATGAAGTACTCGTAAACGAAGAACAGTAACTGCTAATGTGTTAGGTTTGCAGTTTGAGTACCTGCATTAGTAGCAACACAGGAATGGCTGGAAATAGCCTTCAGTGGACATGCCCTTGTGACAAAGTTAAAAAGCATTGGTGTGACTTTATTTTATTGGTTTTGGGGAATGCTGTCTCTTCTTCTATTGGCAGATAAGGGACCTTCATTACTGCTTGTGCCAGAAGGGAAAATTAGAGCAGAGGTAACAGGTAAAATTGTAGACTTTAGATACTTACCCATCTGCATGGAGAAGAGGGGAAAATGTTGTTTTCACTAGTAAGTGAAGCAAGCTTATCACTGGAGTTGAAAATGTGTTGCTAGTATTAAATTTGGAATTGCAGACCTTATTTTTTTCTGGCAGAGAGAATAGTATTTGAAGTTCACCTTTGCTCTTACCAATCTACTGGACTTAGTTGAAGTTATTATAACAATCTATAACCCACTAGGAGCGGGTCTGTATGTACAGTGCTGCAGTGGCCCAGCTGTACAGGTATAGCAGTTTGGGTGGTGAAGACAGTCTATGCTGACCAAGAGAAAGCTCCACCTCCTCTTGGCATAAAAACCCATTTCTGCAAGCGGCAGAGGCTATGTAGTGGAAGACGTTCTCTTACCAACATTGTGCTGTGCACGCAATAGCTTATGTTAGTGTAACTTGCATTGCTCAGAGGGGCAGAATATTCACACTCCTGAGCAACATAAAGTTTTGCAGACTTCAGCTGTAGTGTAGACTTTGCCTAATAAACTTCCATCAGCTGCTTTGTTTCCCGCCTTCTTTTCCTCCCTATGGCTGCAGAGGTGTTGGTGGGCCACTTTACCTAGGATGAGCCCCAAACCATCTGTTCCACCTTGCACTTACCTATGGCTCAAAGTACTTTGCCCAGACCTGAAGAAGAGCTCTATGCTGCGGAAAACCTTGTGTCTCTCTCCAACAGAAGTTGGTCTAATACAGGATATCTCCTCCATCTTGTTTCTTTAATATTCTGGGGCAGACATGGCATCAGCTACACTGCATAGTTAGCTGTAACATTATTAAACTGCTGAAAGTGTGCAGCTGATATAGTACTGTTCTTCTTCGAGTGGCCTCGTGGGTGCTCCACTCTAGGGCTGTGTCCAGACTCAGGGGATTTTTCGAAAAAAGTAGCCTTTTTTCGAAAATACTTCCCCTGCATCCAGACTCAAGCCGCGTTCTTTCGAAATTAAATCGAAAGAACGCGGCTTTTCTTTCGATGGCGGTAAACCTAATTCTACGAGGAAGAACGCCTTCTTTCGAAAGTTCCTCTTTCGAAAGAAGGCGTTCTTCAATGTAAATAGGGCTTCTTCGAAAGAGAGCATCCAGACTCACTGGATGCTTTCTTTCGAAAAAGCAAGCCGCTTTTTCGAAATTTCTCCGTGCAGTCTAGACGCTCTCTTTCGAAAGATGCTTTCGAAAGAGGCTTGCAGTCTAGACATAGCCTAGGTGTCGGATCCATCCTGGCGCCGGGATGGACCCGACACCTAGAATGGAGCACCCACGGGGCACATTTCGAAGAACTACCGTTACTACACAGTGAGTAACTTGTTCATACACAGCTTCAGGACGGTTTTAAGTCTCTAGACTAGTGAACGCAGCTAACTTTGAAGGTCAATGATCATTATGAAATGGAACAATTTAAGTGAAAGGATTTCAAGAAAAATACTTTATCTCTAGAGTTTTTTGACAATTTCATGGTGAGGCTATTTAGGATGGGATGATGGAATCTTTATCTGAAACTCCCTTTCATATGCAAGCTCACTCTCACACTGCTTATCTATTCTTTAGAATCACTGACGTGTTTTCATTTCTGTAACTACTTGGCAGGCATTGGTCGTCTTTTATGGGTGAGATTTGCAGAAGCACCCAGCATTGGTTATTGACTTTGGTGAGATCAAAAGCAGGCGAACACAGAGTACTTTTGAAAACAACCTTATAAATGAATATATTTGTTTTTGTCTGCATATATTACTATCTATTAAGTTTGACGGAACTGGATTTGCTTTGTGATTGCGAAGAGGACCGGGAGTGTTTGAAACAAGCCATTACTGCTCTTTTAAATCTCCAATGCAGCATGGAGCGCATTTACAACAAACATTCACCTAGACGGCGGCCTGGGTAAGACCACACTTAAAGAAGCCTCTAGTACAGCCAAGTAAGTTAAAAGGGAGATATATAGGGGTGGAAATGTTTCCATATTTCCCTTTTAATTGGCTTATGTATAAAAGCAGCATGTTTTTATTGAAGGCACTTACATATGCCAAACATCTAGCAGGTTTTAATCTGTAGCAGTTCCAAGAGTGTTCACTTACAACCCTCCATAGCTCATTCTTGAATAGTCTGTCTTTTCCTGGCAATTCACTGTCCTTTTATACATAAAAATGGCCATGCTGGGTCAGACCAAAGGTTCATCTAGCCCAGCATTCTGTCTTCTGACAGTGGCCAGTGCCAGGTGCCCCAGAGGGAATGAACAGAACAGGGAATCATCAAGTGACCCATCCCATGTCGCCCATTCCCAGCTTCTCGCAGCAGAGGTTAGGGACATCGTCCTGTCCATCTCATCTAGTAATATTCTTATCCTCCATGAATTTATCTAGTTCTTTTTAAAATCCTGTTAATCTTGGGCTTCACAAGGTCCTTTGGCAAGGAATTCCGTGAGTTGGCTGGATGTGCGAAGAACTACTTGTTTGTTTTAAACCTGGTACCTATTAATTTCATGTGGTAAGTCCTGGTTCTTATGGGAAGGAGTAAATAACTCTTCTTTATTAATTTTTTCCACACAAGTCATGATTTTATAGACCTCTTATCATATATATCCCCCCCTTAGTCATCTCTTTTTCGAGCTGAAAAGTTCCAGTCTTACTAATATCTCCTATGGAAGCTGTTTTAAACCCCTAATCATTTTGGTTGTCCTTTTGTGAGCCATTTCCAATTCCTGTATACCTTTTTGAGATGGCACAATCACATCTGCATGCAGCATTCAATACATGGGTGTACCATGGGATTCATATAAATGCAGTAAGATATTCTCTGTCTTTCTTCTCTATCCCTTTCTTAATGCTTTCCAGCATTCTGTTTACTTTTTTGACTGCCACTCTACATTGAGTGGATAGTTTTTAGAGAATTATCCATGGTGACTCCAAGATCTCTCTGAGTGGTAACAGTCCATTTAACATTGACTTTCATCTGCCACTTCATTGCCCGGTCACTCAGTTTTGAGAAATGAGATCCTTTTGAACCTCTTCACAGTCTGCTTTGGACTTATACAAGTCTGCTCACGATAGTTCATTTACAAACTTTGCTAGCTCATTGTTTACCCATTTCTCTAAATCACTTACAAATATGATGATGAGGATTGGTCCCAGTAAAGACCCTGGGAGTGGGGGGGAACCACTAACCTCTCTCCAGTTTGAAAACTGACCATTTATTCCAACACCTATGTTTTTCCTCTTTTTTTAATCAGTTACCAATCTATGAAAGGACCTTCCCACTTATCCCAGACAGCTTACTTTGCTTAAGAGCCTTTGGTGAGGGACTTTGTCAAAGGCTTTCTAAAGATCTTAGTATACTGTATTCATTGGATTCCCCCATGTCCACATGCTGGTTGACCCTCCCTTGAAGAATTCTAGCAGATTGGTGAGGCATGATTTCACTTTCCTTAAACCATGTTGACTCTTCCCCAACAAATTATGTTCATCTGTGTGTCTGACTACAGTAAACTTCCGATAATCCGGCACTTTTTGGACCCAGGGGGTGCCAGATTATCAGATATGCCGGACTATCGGAA